TCAGAGACAAGAGGCTGAGGAGGCTGCAGCTGTGGATAAGCACACAGTACATGAAGAGTGCAGCCATTCTCTTCTGCACTGTTGATTAGTCTACTGAGAAAGGTGAAGGAGTTCCAGCTACCTGCAGAAGAAAGAAAGGCAGTGCTGAAGACATTTTTCATGACTCAAGAAACTATCACCTACATTTGCCACTTTCTGCAGGCAGATCTGCAGCCGTGTGGCTTGGGAGGATGCACTGTGTCTGTGGTGCTGAAGATGGCAGCTGCATGGAAATTCTACAGCTCCAACTCCCTTCAATCTTAAACTTTACACGGGTGATATCTCCCACTCGGTGGCCCACAAGTGCATTCTGAAGTTCACCAACATACTTTACAGGAAGGCAATAGTTTTTTTTCAGATCATCATGAACCCAGGAATTCAAGATACCCAGGGCTGACAGATTTTTAGCCAACACTGGGCTTCCCAACTGTGAGCATGTGACACTGAAAGTGTGAATAGAAAGGAATTTCACTTCCTTAATGTCCAGCTTGTTTGCAACCACAGACAACAATTCATGCAGGGGTGTGGCTGCTATCTCAGGAGCTGTCACAGCACTTACATTCTGAACAACTCCCACATTCTGCAAAAGATTACCTACCATATAATCTCCAGGGCTGGCTCATGGGTGAATAGAGAAACCCCCAGAAGGCACGGCTAATGACCCCTGTGCTAAATGTTCATATGGATGCTGAACTTGGCTACAAAGCTGCACATACATCCAATAGGGCCTTCACTGAACAGACAATTGTGCTTCCGTTGCCTGGACTGTTCAGGAGCAGTACCCCAGTGCTTGCCTGGCTGGGTCTTAAGAATAGTCATTGTTTGCTGTACTCTACACAACCCATCTCAAATGATAGGGTTAGAACTTAGAAGAAAGGGACACAGATCCATCTCCTCAGATGAAGATGATGATGAAAAAGGAAGGGAGCCAATGCTATGATGAGGTATCTGAAGAAATCAGGGCAGTAGCGAGACAAGGAGAAAAGGCCCATAAAAACCTGATAGTGGCTGGACTTGAAACTGAGTTATATTGCATGAACATCTGTGGACACTCAGAAATATTAGCTAAATGTGGAGAGATAATCCTGTGCCCAAGAAATTCTTATTAAGTGTTTACCAACATGGTTGCCATGGATTGTAATTGAATTTGTTCCCTTTTTACCAAGAATCTGTTCAGTTTCCTAGCCAGAGCATCAGTGTGGTATTCCGCAAGGTTACTTAGGGACCACACTTGCACAGCTCAAACTTTCATTTACTAGGGGCATCCATCTACTCTGCAAGAGATAGGCTGAGTTACGTTAATTGACAGCTGAAACCTAACCATGTAGCTTAATGTCTCGCATTCCAGAGGTTATGTTCCTCCTGGAGGACAACAGTCAATGTGAGCATGTTTTCCTACCATTATATCTTGATGCCACCTCTGCAGCCACAGCTAAGCTTCAGGATTCCTGATGACTGTTTTGCCATTTTGCCTCAGATGACTTTGATGACTGTTTTCTGTAAGACCTGGGTCCAGAATGCTCCTCACTGCTGGGAAGCTCCTGTACAGGTGCAAACTCCTTGATCTGACTTAACAAAAGTCTTTTGGGTCCTGGTGGAAGGGAGATGGGAGAAGCTGAACATAAATCGTGATTTGGCCTGATATGACAATTCTGGTGTCTATAAATTGTTTCCTTTCCTGTCAGTGCACAATGGCAGCTCCCTTGCCACTTGAGCGGATGGAAAACCAAGAGAGAAGTCAATTACCTATGATCTCCTGTCACCAAGCCAATGTTGCAAAACATCTCTGGCTTGAGCAATGCGAGTTAAGGTTCCCATGTTATCCAGCAGATATTGACTTTTCTGCAAGAGCTGGCTCTCCATGTCAGCAGCCAAGAGCTTGCATGTTAGAAGCACAACACACAGAACCTGGGCAGATTCTTGTGCACATCGTGGAATCTGTGCATGATCTCTCACACTTCTGCTCGTTGTTCTACTACTTGATTCAGTATCTCTGTCAACTCACTAATTCCTGAATTCAGAGGCTCATTATCTGCATGGAGATCAGCAGGTGCTGACGGTCCAAAATCTCTGGGTGCCAGAGATCTTAGCCATTTCTTCCTCCTCTAGCTGTGAATCCGTGTCAGTGCTGCGTGCACCAGAATATGACCACAACACTAGATATGTTACATACTGAAGTGAATGTGCCTACACTGCTGAATTATGAGGAGGAGGCCTTTGTACTGTTGCAACTAAAAGCCCCAACAGTCCATTCTCAGAGATATGCTGTGAGGGGTTGTTAGAGATGGGCTGTGGATGGATCTCTTCAAGTTCTTTTTATTGATATGGGAGTGGGATCCAGAGGCAGCAAAGAAAATTGCAAAGATCTGCTTGTGTTATGAGTTGTCACCCACACTCAAGATTTTGTCGAGGTATAACTGTTTCATGTACAATTGGGAGGAGTTCCTTAGAGATTTGTTCAGTGAATAGATATAGACATCCATTATCCTGTTGATACAGGTGCACCTCCTGTCTGCATCTGCCAGCTCAATAGCCTGTTCCTCAAAGTGGGGTTTGGTCAGCAGCCTTATGTCAGGCATATCCCCAATCTGTGCATTCTCATGTTAATAAGCATGTCCTTCTGCTGCAGAAGAAGTGAAGCATTAAGAGACATTAGCAGAGACACACGGACACTTTGGCTTCATTGTTTACTACAGGTAAAGTTGTGAATTCTTAAATCTGTGACATGAGTTATGGGGGTATTTAGGAGTTAAAGGGATCTGACTGTGAGGTGGTTCAATGTCATCAAATAGCTCGAGTTAATGGGAATCAATAAGGCTTCACTGATGTGCCCTTGGCATGAGTAAACCTGTGGCGAAAAGGTATTGAATGTGTGGGTTCTCAAGCCAGTAGACTGGGGGTGCACGTGTTTTGTAGCGCCCTTTATATTATGAGCATGATATACTGAGTAGATAGCAGCACATACACTGCCAGTTGTAGCAGATCATATATCTTTTAGTGGTTCTAAATCCTGTGTCTCTTGATATTCCACCAAGCACTGACCATTTCTCCATCTATCTTGCTCGAGGTTACGTTGGTCATTCAGAATGACCATGTGTTGCCAACCCTCAGAAACAGTACATCCCTTCTCTCATGGCTATCCCACAAGAAAACCTCAAAGGAGGCAATGCTAAGGTGAGGGGCTGGCTTTTGATGAGTTTTAAGACATGAAGTCATAGAGTCATACAGCACAGAAACAGACCCTTTAGTTCAACTCATCTGTGGCAACCAGGCATCCCAATGTGACTTAGTCCCATTTGTCAGCATTTAGCTCATAGATTTCTAAACATTTCCTATTCACATATCCATCCAGTTGGCTTATAAATATTGTATTGTAGCCACCCCCATGACTTCCCCTGGCAGCTCATTCATACACATACCACCCTCTGCATGAAAATGTTACCCCTCAGATCTTTTTAAAATATTTCCCCTATCACCTTAAACTTACACCCTCTAGCTCTGGAACAAAAACAGAAGTTGCTGAAACAGCTCAGCAGGTCCGGCAGCATCTGTGACGAAAAATCAGAGTTAATGTTCTGGGTCCGATGATCCCTCCTCAGAGCAGGGAGCCTCTAGCTCTGAATTCCCCACCCTAGGAAAAAGATCACGGTTATTCACCCTATCCATACCCCTCATGATTTTATAAACCTCTATATGGTCACCCCTCAGCCTCCACATCTCTAGGAGTGGGTGGCAGGGATAAGCATACTTAAGTGATCCTCCTAGGTTGCCAAAAGTGAAGTTCTCTTTGGGTGCTTTTTAAAATATTGCACTTGGATGATGGAGTTGGAGGTCTTCAGAACCTCCTACCCACAAAACCATAATATTTGGTGATTTACCCCATGCATGAAAATATATGGATCTGAAAAGAATGTGGCCAGGTAGGACAACCCAATCCACCCAAAGCAAGTATTTCACCCACTTTTATACCTGCCTACACTCAGTCTCAGAAAACAAACTTTAGCCTCATGTAAAAACAAAAAGAACTGCGAATGCTGTCTCTATTAACAGCTATTCACTCTCCTAGCCAGATCGTTATCCACTCCTTTATCTGTCCAACTGTTCTTCTCTCTTTGAGCTCTATCCCTACCTATTGCTTACTCCTTACCCTCTCTGCCCACCCTATCTTCTGCATATAAACCAACATTTTCCTAGCTACTATCAGTTCTGAAGAAGGGTCACCAGACCCAAAATGTTAACTGTGATTTCTCTTCACAGATGCTGCCAGACCTACTGAGCTTTTCCAGCAACTTCTGCTTTAGCTTCATGTGTCCACTTCACTTGGTCTTCTCATTCAGGTTTGAAAAGTGCTATCAAAGAAGCCTTCTCAAATCGGTTATCCATCTTGAAGCTGGTACACACTGCAGATGCAGTGTACCAGTGATGAAAGGAAGGAATGTGTGAGATATTGGTCAGAGTGTTGATCAAGCAGGCTGCTTTTTCTTGAATGGTATGGAGGTTCTTGAATATTATTGAAGATCCAGGCACTTGCAGAGCATTTCATCACACTCCTGTGGCTTGTTGCTGCTGGAAAGGTTTGAGGGAATCAGGTGAGTCACTCATTGCAGAATACCTAATCTTTTTCAATTTTGTGAATTCCAAACGTTTCAATGAACTTCTGACAGTGTAGTGATTTTGTCACTTTCAGTGACTGCACAGTCAAGAAGGGCCTACTACTATTTTCTGAAAGAAAACTAGGTATATACTTACATGTATAGCTATATGTGGTATAGCTTTACTCCAATAATTATTCCTTCCAGAAGTCAGAATGATAATTTATTAATATGTTTGAAAAAACCTTTTATTCGTTACAAGAAAAAGGAACTTTATGTAAGGGTGAGAAAATGTCTAAATTATCTTTTTAAAGCCTTAAGCAGGAAAGGAACTAAAAACAAAATGTAATTAAACCCAAATTTGCTTACCGTAAAAACTCAGGATCTGTTTGTGGTTTTTGACAAACTTTTACTTTTTCTTCTTCCAAAGCCTTTGTGTTAAAAATAACTGTAGTCAGCTCATCCTCAATACCTGAAAAACAATGATGGTAATTCTATCTTTGCAGCTAACACAGAAATCTACCAGTCAGAAATAATCCATGTACAATAACTCAATACTCCCTCATTTGAAAATGACCTCAGCTCTAATTTTTGTTAGCTTCATTTACAAACTAAACCAATTAAATTACAATCACAGAGCTAACATTTTGGGTCCGATGACCCTTCCTCAGAACAGTTCTGAGGCAGTGTCACCGGACCCGAAACGTTAACTCTGTTTTTTCCTTCACAGATGCTGCCAGACCTGCTGGGCTTTTCCAGCAACTTTGTTTTTGTTCCTGATTTACAGCATCTGCAGTTCTTTTGGTTTTTAAATCACAATCACTCTAGCTGAGGTTAAATGTAAACTTTTCTGGACTTTTACAGCGTACCCCTATCTCTTATAATTAAGGATTATGTTATTATGTGCAAATTTATGGTGACTGATTTATAAATAGCTCAATGATATCTCAGTCACATCTGCTATTGCTTAATTTTCTGCCGCATTATCACCTTAATCTTCAATCACTGAACAAACACTTTGCTATAATATAGTGTCACTGTTTTTTGTTATTCTTTCATGGTACGTAGATGTCATTGGTTCAGCATTTATTGCCCTTACCTAATTGCCCTTGAGAAGTTAGTGGTAAGCTGTCTTTTTGAACCACTGAAGTCCATTTGGTATAGGTATCCGCACAACACTGTTGGGAAGTAGTTCCAGGACTTTTGACCTAATGACACTGAAGGAACGGCAGTACATTTCCAAATCTGGATGGTGGTGGCATTCCCATGTATCTGCCCTTCTTCCTAGATAATAGTGGTAACTGGTTTGAAAGGTGCTCTCCAACGAGCCTTGATGAATTTCTGCAGTGCATCTTGTAGATGTCACACACTGCCACTACTCCGCATTAGTGGTGGAGAGAGTGGATGTTTGTGAATGTGGTACAAATCATGCAGGTTGCTTTGTCTTGGATGGTGCCCAGCTTCCTAAGTGTTGTTGGAGCTGCACTCATCCAGCAAGTGAGAAATATTTCATCACACTCCTCACTTCTGTCTTATAGATGGTGAACAGGCTTTGAGGAGTCAGGAGGTGAATCACTAGTTGGAAGGGTCCACACCACTGGCCTACTCCATATTTATTTGTTTAGTCCAGTGTAGCTTCTAGTCAATGACAACTCCCCAGGATGTTAATAGAGAATGACAGGCTGCCAGATCTCCCTGCACATCTCTTGCAATATTCCATTAGGAAAAGGCAGATGCATAACCACCCATTAGCCTCACCAATTCACAATCTTTTGATGTCACCTTGATGTCACACAGCTCAACTTACAAGATGTAATGCAGCAACCCAAAAAGCTTCTTAGAAATGCCACTTCCCTTCGTAACAGCAGGAGCACAAGAAAGGAGGGAATACCACCACTTTAAGTTTCCATCTAAGTCATGCATTATCCTGACTCAAATGTATAGTATGTTACATGTCACTGCGTGACAATCCTTGTTCTCTATCTTATTATGGACATATTTTTATCACAAAAATTGAAATAAAGAATCCATTTAATATAGTGCTTTTCAACACTTCATGATATTTTAAAGCTTTATTGCCAATAAAGTACACTTTTTTGAAAGAGCAGTCACTACTGTTACTTAGGGAATGAAGCAGCCAATTTGTGCGAAGGAGTCTCCTGCAAACAGCAACGTGATAGTGATCAGTTAATGACCACCTTTTGTATGTTGACCAAACTTATAAACATCAGCCAGAATGTCAGGAATAACTCCATGGCCCTTTTATGGAATAGTGCTATGGGATCTTTTACAAATGTACTCCTAACTATCTCACACAAAACGTTCTCATATTTGATTCTTCTTACACGCTCCTCGGCCACACTTATTTCTTAAATGACCTGTCCTTTTTGCAGTCATACAGGACTCAATCAACAAGGTCTTGATCAACATTTTTTAAAGAATCCACTCAGCACTTTATAGCCTTAACTAATGTTTTTCCTTTTCTCTTCCTTCCCTTTCCAAGATTCTTTCAGTCCAATACTTCACTGTCACAATTAATTATTTCGTTTCAATTACTAGCTCAACCAGTAACAACTATTTTTACCTTTCAACCTTTACACGGCTCTATTTGGTAACCTCAATTCTTACTTCCAACGGTTAAAATTTTAAGTCCCAAACTCCCTTCCAGACATTCTGTCTAATTTCTTCCCACTCCTCATGAAAACACTAAACTCATCTGAACCACTTCAGTCCAGGTGTAATCCACTGCTTACATCCTTTGTTCCAGCAATCCCTCCCCCCAAACCCCACTCACTAGCTCCCCCGCCACGCATCTCCATCTCAACACTCCCTATTATAGATTGTTTCTTTTCCTGTCTCAATCTGTCACCCCTTCACAGCACCATGAAAATGCATTGAATACTGGATGGCCCCCTGTTATGCTTTGGCAGGAGGACCTTATACGGTGGTCTTTCCCCACTACACCTTGGCAGCAGCTGCACCAAGCTTTAGTATATAGTCCTAGACCTTGGAATGTGCCAGTCTGCAACAGTCAGGGTCAACTTTTTAAACCGGAAGGCTAGCAAGTTTCGGGCAGACCAAAGAACATCTTTCACGGAGTTATGGTCCTCCGGGTGGAGTTGATCTTTGCCTTGGTGTGCATCCCAGGGAACAGACCATACAGCACACAGTCCCACGTCATGAAGCTGCTTTGGACGAACCTTGACAAAAACCACTCCAGTTGTCTCCAAATTTTCTTTGCATAGGCACATCCCAGAAGGAGGTGTATGACAGTCTCGTCCCCTCTGCAGTCACTTAAGAGGGCAGCATAAAGGATCTCACAGGGAGAGCCCTTCTCACCAACTTAGTGTCATTACTTACTGAGGTTCTACCGGTCCCCGGTGTTGTGAAGGATAGGCCTGGCCTCGTTGTCGCGGACCGCTCCAAGTAGTTGGACCTTTCCACAGCACCTGTCTTTTGTGGAGAAATTTCTGAAAGAAAACACCTTTGACCAGAAGCCCATCAGGAAGTGGTCAGCACATAGCGTCCTTCGGGACAAAGACAGTGTTGATCTTGACGAGTGGTTCCCTGTGCAGACTGTCATAGTCATTTGGCAGAATGCCTCATCACCAGATGTGGGTCACATTGATACAATAGACATGGTTACAGAAAGTATGAGCTGCTGTTCTGCCATGTGTCCATATGATATCATTAGAGAGAGAATGGTGCTTATGACACTCAGCAGCATTAAACATTTCAGATCCCTTCAGACCTTACTTCCTGTCTACTCTATTATCCGATTTACTGTGAGCACTATGGGAAATTTACATCTATAATGTTATATGCTCAGATATTACCTGGCCGCAACATGTTAATTAGAAATTATAATTCACCAATCACAGATGATTAACAACTGTAAACAGATAATATTAGCCAATAGGTCGATAACCTTGAAGGTTGCTCTGGAGTTGATGAATTTCTTCTTTTAGCTCATTTTTCTGCTTTTGGAGAGCATTCAAATGAATATTTTTTTGTTCAAGACATTTCATATCTAAAACACAATAATAAAAATAATTACATTTTGCATTTTTATTTCTTTTTAAACATTAGGATACTAACTGTGTTTTGGCCAGAATTTAACAACTTCAATATTTAATAACCCATTAAAGTTCCAAGATTTTAAATTATTGATGAGAATCTGCTGAGCTAAAACCAATTTTCTAGAAATTATGTGCCACTTTCGGCATTGCGTTCACTAGTGTCATAGCCCCAGCTGATGTTACTACTGGACAAGTCAGATCCCAGAATGAAATTTACACAAAGGAAATAAAAAACATAAACCAAGCTTTCTAAATATAACAGTTAGAAATATTTCAAAACACTTGGGAAGACAAAGTTCCATCTACTCTCCAATGCCATCACTTTGCAGTTAAGCAAAATTGAGAGAAACTCTTTCCCTAACAAACCTGTAGGAAGGGTCTAGGCCCGAAACATCAGCTTTCCTGCTCCTCTGATGCTGCTTGGCCTGCTGTGTTCATCCAGCTCTACACCTTGTTATCTCAGCTTGACATAATAACAGCTTCTTCTCAATTCCAGGCCCATAAGCTTTGAAGTCTCTCCCCGGATCACTCACCAACTGAGTTTAAGCTTCCAGTCTTTTACTAAGCTGTGGAGTTCTAATGAAATAATCTTGGTCTGGAAGTTTCATTGAGATAACTTATTTCCTTATTTGCTCTGAACAATCTTCTTTGGAGAAATCATATTTGCTTCTGACCCCAGTCAAGCTTCCTTTGAACTACTCAACAGCTTTTGAACTAACATTTTAAAAAGAAACCTGCTCATCCTACCTTCCTTTAAACTAATTGCTTAACATTTTAGGTAGTCTCCATTCCTCATTAGTACTTCATTGGGGGTTGGTTAGCCCAGTAGCTGGACATGTTTTTTTGCAATGCAGAATGATGCCAACAGCACGGGGTCAATTCCTGCACCTGTTGAGGTTACGATGAAGGATTCTCCTTCTCAACTTCTTCCACACTCGTCTTAGGTGTGATGACCCTCAGCTTAAGCCAGCACTGATCATCGCTCTTTAATGACAGGGCTGCTCTATGGTCCAGTACCTTTTCAGTAATATCACTCAGCCATTGGATCTGATTCAATTTCTGAATTATCTGTTTGGTATAACTCTTAGAATTAAGAATTTCTATGTTGTGTTTCTACGAATAAAGTTGAGCTGACACGTCAGCTCATTCTCCTTACCCACATCACTTTCATGTAAATTGTTGAGCATTGTATCCAACAACTGAATTGTTAAGATTTGCTAAATTGAATCCTGGGATGACAGGACTGACATATGAGGAGAGATTGAGTCAGTTAGGATTGTACTCAGTGGAGTTTAGAAGAATGTGGGGGGAAATCTCGAAAAATAACTTATCAAATTCTAACAGGACTATACAAGTTAGATGTAGGAAGGCTATTCCCAATTGTGAGGAAGTCCAGAACCAGAGTTCATAGTATAAGGAGTAAACCTTTTAGCATTAGGTGAGGCTAAATTTCTTCATCCAGAGAGTGGTGGGACTGTGGAATCCATTGGTACAGAAAGTGGTTGAGGCCAAAATGTTGAGTTTTCAAACATAAAATATATATAGCTCCGTGGCTAAAGGGATTAAGGGATGTGGGAGGAGGGAAGGATTAGGGTATTGAGCTCAATAATCAACCATCGTATTGAATGGTGGAGTAGGCTTGAGGAGTCGAACGGCCTACACCTGCTTCTATCTTTTATGCTTCTATGTCATCTTCCTGTTTCATAGACTTCTCTTCATCCTGTTCTAGTCTATAAACATGAGATATAGTCAAAACATAGTTAGGAAAAATCCAAGATATTCCTCCTGTAACATCTGTTTGTTTTACCTCCACTAGTTATTCCACCGGCCTCAATGAGGCAAATGATTTTTGAACCAGACAGGTCATTTCCCAAAATAAAATTGATTTTTTCCATAGGTATTTGCTCCAACAATAATTTATCCATTTACATGACACTATTCAATCCTACCCAATGTACACATCTAATTGATATTTTCTTCTTCTTGACCCCTCTGGAAGATAAATAGCATCAGACAGCAGTGACTGACTTGCCTCATTGTCTCTCGATAACTTCATTGGTTTTTCTCTTTGATTTGAAGTATAATGAAGTACTTCTCCTTTTGAGACAAAATATTCAGAACCTTCAGTTTTCTGATGCTCCTTATAGCTTTATGAAGATATCTTCATGATGGTTTAACCGCTAATGCTCTGTTAGCCTTCAAAGTTTTCAAATAATCCACTGCTATATCTTCTATTCACACAAAGCTCTTAGAAACATTCAAAAGCATTTTAAACATTCATACAATAAACTTCACCCACAGGCACTGTATGCCCTGCACCTCCACTTACCCATTTCTTTTAAAGAGACACAAATCACTCTTAAATTCAATGAATACAGATCCCAACAAGAACTCTCACTTGTTATGATATTACTATCGGACAGATCAGATGCCAGAATGAAATATGGCATGATAGATTTTTTTTTTCTTTTATTAGTGTGGCAATCTTTCACTGAAACATAAGCATACTAGGCTGCAGATTTAGTTTAAATAATATAACAGCCACACATTACAAAAATAAATAAAACTAAAATAAACAAAGCTATCAAGAATATAACTCAGTTGAAATATTTCAAAACAAGGAAGAAAACAAAATCTCATCTAGTTCCCAATACTATCAATTTAGAGTTAATCAAAATCCAGAGTTTCCTTCCCTATCAGATCAGCAAGTTTGATTTCAATATTCTCAATTCTACTCCCATGAGTTGTAAGACCCATTCTCTTCAGCACTCACCCAATTGACTTCCTCAATCTTTCAATAATCTACAGAATTCTCACCAAATACTCCTAGTCAGAATGTTATACAAACTACAAATTTTGACTGAAGTAAGTTTGTTTCCTCAACTGCTTTGAACAATCTTTGTTTCTAGGAGAGATTATACTTGCTTCCGATCATAGTCCGATGTACTTCGGAATATGCAAAAGATTTTGAACTAATCTTTAACAAAACTTGCTTATCTTAGCTTCTGGTAAGCTAATGGCTTAACATTTTCTTTCCCTGGTCAGAGACCCAACAGTAAATATAAACTTTCATTAAAACTCCAGATGCACATATTGGTTTAAAATCACACTTCCAAAAAGACTGACCCAGATAATTTTAAAATGCTTTCACAAAAATAGACCAAATCTGAAACAAATCCACAGAGGCAGGTATCCCGACAGCATGTCACCCTTTATTTACATGTGCATAGTACACGAGCTGTGGCCAGCCAGCTCAGAGTGAGGAGATTCTGAATCTCCTGGTTATATTGGTCAGCCAGGGCTTTCCTGATTGGTCCAGATTAACAACACCAATCAAGGATCTTGTAGTCAACAAGATCCACCTGGCTCCAATCATTACATCCCTCACCCCCTAAGTCTGGGAATGTAGGCCTGGATCGCTCTTGTAGCTTTTCCTGACCTTTTCGCCCCAGGTCCAGTTTCCCTGACTCGGACTCTGAATCTGGCAGCATGTACTGGACTGTAGCCCATCTTTTGTGTCTGGGGCGTCTCGGGAGACTTTCTTCCACTTCTTCCGGCGGTAATGGTATCAAAGCTCCGAGGTTTCCTTGACACAGACAGGGTAGGGGAGAACCTATAGTTTCCAACAGGCCTTCTGGCTGTTCTGAGGGGACAGGTATGTTTTGTTCCTGTCCTGTTTGCGAGGTGACAGTTTTCAGGTGATCCACGGGTTTTTTCAGGACTGGATCACCAACCTGAACACGGGACCTGACCTCGCACCAACCTCGCCTTATACTCAAACAGGGCCATTCCTACCAAATTTTATCCTCTGAAATAAATTGTCTCTCTTACTTAGAGGAGGCACGTGGCTGGCATTGGTATTCCTCTTTCCATTTTGCCCTCCCCCCAGATCTGGAAGTATCGGGTTTAATCTGGTGTGGAGTCTTCTCTCCATCAGCAACTCTGCTGGAGCTATCCCTTCGTTGCGTTCCTCATGGTTCTATAATCAAACAGGAATTGGGACAGTTTGATATCAAGTGACGCTGTAGGCTGTTTCTTTAAGCCTGCCTTCAACATTTGGACTGCTCTTTCTGCTAGACCATTGGATGATAGATGGTATGGACTTGTCCTTATGGGTTGAACCCCATTTGACTTCTGGAAATTTTCAAATTTCCTGCTGGTAAATGACCTCCCATTGTCCATGACCAATGTGTCTGGAAGGCCATGTATCGCGAATAATGTTCACAGCTTCTCAATTGTCATCCCCGAGTTTGCTGAACGACCTTTATGCACTTCCAACCACTTTGAATGGGCGTCCACAATGACATGAACATTGAGCCCATGAAAAGGACCGACAGAGTCAACATTCAACCGTGTCCAGGGTTTACCCAGCCATTTCCACGAATGTGGAGGCACTGATGGTGGCAATTTTTGTTCTTATTGGCACTCTGGGCATTGCCCCACAATGCAGCTATGTCGACATCCAACCCCGGCCACCAGACATAGCTTCTTGCTAGCATCTTCATTTTGGAAACCCCTGGATGACCCTGGTGGAGTTCAGCCAGTATCTGGACAACCACCCTTGGCTCCCCACAGTAATATGCCATCCTCTACGGTGATCTGGTCTCGTCGGGTCCAGAAAGGCTTCAGTCCTGGTTGCGATGGTCTTTCTGTTTCCCCCATTACCACCAGCTATTTTAGTTTCGCTAGAACAGCGTTTTCTTGTATCCATAGTTGGATATTGTCAGTGGTGATTAGAAGGGTATCCAGGAAGTTTAAAAACCAAAACTGGCTCTTCCAGGGGAGGCATCACTGGTGGATTATCTGCCAATGAGAGGCGGCTCAAGGCATCCGCATTAGCAGATTAGCATTAACACTGGTGTTCTAACTTTTATTTGTATGCAATGGGAATGAGGGCCCAACACTGAATTCTACTAGAACCTATAGGTGGCACTGCCTTGCCTTGTTCAAT